TGGGGCAAAGTGGATCAAGATGACAGCCTGGGCAAGTTGGTGGGACCCTGTCTCAAAATAAAAAGGACTGGGGATATATCTCAGTGGTAGAGCATCTCTGAGTTCATTCCCCATGGGGATGGGGGACAGTGGGAAACAGAGCTAAAGACACGATTACCAAATTAATTAAAAATAGAAAATAACCCAATCCAGAACAGATAGAGAAATGGAAAATATAAAAGAGAGCTTAAAAAACATAAAGGGCAGAAATAAACTCCAATTGTGTCTAACAAAAATTCCATACAATAGACTGGAAAAAATGAGATAAAGTACCGGGCGTGGTGGTGCACGCCTGTAATCCCAGTGACTCAGGAGGCTGAGGCAGGAGAATCATGAGTTCAAAGCCAGCCTCAGCAAAAGTGAGGCAATAAGCAACTCAGTAAAAAACAGGGCTGGGGATGTGGCTCGGTGGCTGAGTGCCCCTGAAGTCAATCCCAAGTACCAAAAAAAAAAGGGGGGGGGGGCGGGTGGAATCAGTGATTTGTAAAGTATGATGGTGAAGATTGTGTCCAGAATTGAAGAAAGAAATCAGGAAGCACAAGAAGTCCCAAGAAGAAAAAAGTCACACACAGACATGTCACACAAACAAAGAAGGGATCTCAAAGGATCAGTGGCAGAAGTTTCAAGGCAGACAATAGGAATGCAGGATCAAAAGAATTTGGGGTTGGGGTTATTTGTTTGCTTGTTTGCTTGCTTGCTTGTTGTTTGTCATTTCTTTGGTGCTGTTGTTTTCAAGATGAAAGAGAGAGTAAAGTATGATTAGAAGCAGATAGGGAAAAGAGAGAATCAAGAAACTAAAATGACAAAGTCTGCAAGAAGGCAGAAAAAGACGAAATTTAAAGCGCACTTAAAGACTAGCATTTGAGGGGCTGGTGTTGTGGCTCAGTGGTAGAGCCTTTGACTATAAACATGACTCAGTGAAAGTAAAGATATGTATAATATTAATCTCATTTGCAGAATTGGGTTATAAGAAGACGAAATTGTCTGGTAGTAGGAGGAAAAGACAGATCTAATATATTAGGGATGGGGAAGGAAAAGTAGGTGGAATTCAAAATACATCAGTGAGCCAGGCAGGGTGGCATATGCCTTTAATCCCAGTGGCTCGGGAGGCTGAGTCAGAAGGATCAGCCTCAGTAACAGCAAGGCCATAAGCAACTCAATGAGACCCTGTCTCTAAATAAAATACAAAATAGGGCTGGGGATGTGGCTCTATGGTTGAATGCCCCCGAGTTCAATCCCGGTACAAATAAGTGATGGCAGAAAGTAAACGTTTACTAAAGTATATTAACATTACAAAGTAATTGAAATGTCAACTGAGGTTATCATGAATCTATAACAATATAAATCTGTGTGATTTTTTTTCTTTACAAACACAGGTAAGTATAAAAGTATGGGTAGTCACATTAATGAAAGAATACCTGAATTAAGAGATGAGACATACCGAAATAAACAATAATCATTAAATTCAAACATGAAACATCAAGAAATGCAATGATTCCTTTTGCTGTTGCTTAAGTTTAGGGAAGTGAAAGAAAGATTTAGGAAGGGAGAAAGTGCCAACTAAAGTGAAAAACAATCTTATTAGATCTGGGTGTAGTGCCTGCTATAGTTTGGATTCCCCCACCCCCCCGACTTTCTTTTCACTGGTGAATTATAATTATGTATAACAGTAGGCCTCACTGTAATATATTTTTTACCTGTACATAGCATAAACTGGTCTACTACAATCTACTACAATCCCCCATATCTCCTCTTCTCCTCTCTCCTATAGTTTGCATCTTAAATGTCCCCCAAAGACCCAGGTATTAAAGGCTTGCTCCTCAGGGAGATGCTTAAAATGCTTAAGAGGTAGGACTTAATAGGAGGTCGTTAGGTCACTGGTTGTTAGGTCGTTACGTCCAGTGACCTAATTGGGGAAAATGGGACCCCAATTCTTTCTCTTCTCTCTTTGGATTCCTGGCAACAAAATGAGTGGCATACTCTGCCCCATGTCCTGCCATGATATGCTGCTGCCTTGCCACAGGACCAAAAGCAAGAAGCCAACCAACCGGAGACTGAAACCTTCAAAACTGAGCCAAAACAATCCTTTTCTCTTTATAAATTTATTGTCTCAGTTATTTGTTATTCTGACAGCTAAGTGTCCTAGAAATGTATCACAGATACATTTCCAAGTTGCTAGACAAACTTCCTAAATATCACTTGATTATCAAATCCAGGAAATGCTACAAAAAATGAGTGTACTCTTCGCATTACTAGTACTTTCAATTCTTTGCTATGACAAATACTTCTGTAACCTTTATTATGTACACTTCCCTGTGACAAACGTCTTTTTTTTTTTTTTTTTGGTCTATTAATCCTTTTAGACTTTTTCTTCCCAAGGAAACTTTCAAAACTATTAGATCGTTTAGAATTCTCCATCTTTAAACACTTTAAAATTTTTCTTCCAGATACAGTGGTGCACAACTATAATCCCAGTGACTCAGGAGGCTGAGGTAGGAAGATCACAAGTTCAAAGCCAGCCTCAGCAAGTTAGTGAGGCCTGAAGCAACTTAGTGAAACCTTGTCTTGAAGTAAAAAACACAAAGGGCTAAGGATGTGGCTCAGTGGTTCAGTGCCCCTGGATTCAATCCCTGGTACCAAAAAAAAAAAAAAAAAAACTAAATTTAATTTAAATTAAATACATATTCCTTCAATGTCTAGATGAAAAATTTTCCACTCTTTCCATTGGCACTGTATGGACGGTTTCAATCTAAGACTTTTTATTTAACTTTACTTCCATTATTTCTTTGAATATTTCCTCCTCTCCACTTTTATTTTTTCCCCTCCTGGGGATTCTATTATCTGGATTCTATTTTTGTCTTCTATATTATTACAAAGTCTTTATTTAATGTATACATGCATCTTTTGTCCTTTTCTTCTTTCTAGGATTTCCTTCATCTAATTTGCCCCTTGATTACTTTGTTCCTTGGCTACCTATATTCATTGTTATTATTTCATTTATTGTGTTTTCTGCTTCCACTGCTAAAGTTTTTAATACTAAGGTTTCTACTGTTTCTTTTTAATACTTTGTTTCAAATTACTATTCTCCTTTTGTATCTTTTATTACACTTGTTTCTTTTCTTTTTAAAAAGGGCATGGATGCACACACCTGTAAACCCAGAGACTCGGTAGACTGAGGCCAAAGGATTACTAATTGAAGGCCATCCTTAGCAAACAAATGAATCTTCCCAAAGAACAGGTTGTACTGTCTTATTTATCAACTCAAATACTTCTAACTTCTTGACCTAGTAGCCAAAGCTGTGATTTCTCAAATATTTCATATCAAATATAATTATCACTGTCACTTTACAGCCTGTGTATTCTCAGGTCAGTGCCACTGGCTTGTACTAATTATATACCTGAGACTGGGGAGTCCAGCTGTCACCCTATCTCTAATAGCTAAATTCTACACATTCTTTAGGAATCAAGTTAAATCAATCTCTCTCCCCCTCCCCCTCCTACTCCCCCTTCCTCTCCCCCTTCCTCTCCCTCTCTTTCTTTTATTGGTGCCAGGGATTGAACCCAGGGGGTGCGTGACCACATTTCCAGCCCAGCCCCTTTAATTTTTTTTATTTTGAGACAGGATCTAAGTTGCTTGCTAAATTGTTGAAGCTGATCTTGAACTTTCAATCCTCCTGCCTCAGCCTCCTGAGTCTAGTTGCTGGGATTATAAGTGTGTGCCACTGAGCCTAGCAAATGATAAAATTCTTTAGACATCTCATTCCTTCAGTAGAAAGTAATTTTCCCTCACTCCGAACTTCTTTTGTAATATAGAGATCATTAAAGATGCTTTAATTACATCCCCTGAAATTGCTATTAAAAAACATATTTATCTTCCATTTTAAGAAATTATTACTTTTGGTACTGGGGATATAACCCAGGGGCACTTTACCACTGAGCTACATCCCCAGTCCTTTTTATGTTTTAGTTTTAGACTAAGTTGCTTCGGGCCTTGTGAAATCACTGAGGCTGGCCTTGAATTTACAATTCTCTTGTGTCAGTCTCCTGAGCCGCTGGGAATAAAGGTGTGTGCCTGGCTCTTCCTTTAGATTGTGTATTTCCTACAGGCAGGGTTCATCTGTGGTATATCCTTATTTCCATAAAGTGACTAATGATCTTACATGTAGAAAGAATTTAATATATACTTCTCAAATTAAAAAAAAAACAACACAGGCTGGAGTGGTACAGTGCTTGCTTAGCACATGTGAGGCACTAGGTTCAAACCTCAGCAACACAAAAAATAAATAAATAAAACAAAGATATTGTGTCCACCTACAACTAAAAATATATTTTTTAAAGAAAATCTCTTCTGCTTTTAAAAAAAAAAGAAAGATGAAAAACACAGTAAGCCAGTCTTGAGAAGGAAAGTTGCATATTGCAAGTTTTCAAAGCCTGCAAGATTAGTGTTGTCTGTATATGAAAACTAACAATTTTAGGGAAAGAGATGGAACAGATGCATATATTAGCTGCATAGGAGTAGTGAATTCCATTCTCTAGTTCAGAATATACATGCTCATTCTCAACTAATCCAAAATTTTCTGAAAAACACATTAAAGAATTAGAGAATTATACAAATAAAACAATAAGATCTCATATTCTTTCCTTCTTATGACATTATGTAGAAAGCACCCTTAATAATTAAAGACCTAGGCACCTAGACTCTTATGAATAACAATTTTATTAATTCTAAAACCCATCTATTACGTCTTAAAGTTATATAACAAATCCAAACAAGCGTAACAATAAGAACATGATAACACAGTTCATCCCACCTACCATCCAAAATTATGGGTAAATCCTTTCCAGGCTTCATCTTTCTATCTACAGATCCCTAGCACTGCTTAATCTAGGAAGATTACTAAGATACCCTAAGATTAGTTTACATTATTACATTTAAAACCATGCTTCAGATTGGTACATACCTATGAATTTAAGTTCCTGCTTTGTTAGTGGAGAACTGTCATCTCTGTCTGAAGAAAAGACACACTTTAATTTCTGATTTTTTTTTTCTTTAATCACAGTTTCTAAAAACTACCATGAAAGATACTGAGAAACTTCAGAAATTATTGGGGTGGGGGGTGTCCAATAAGGTTAAAGTAAAAAAAAAAAAAACCACAATGTGAATTTCAAGTCATTAGCAGCATTCTAAATATAAGGGATTGTTAATGCATTACCACATAATTAATTTAAAAGAATCTCTCATATAATTCCTTTCCCTTTATATTACTTTCTTTACTGAATAAGGCCTCCTTTGAAGTTTAATGAGACACTCACAAATTCATTTTTCTTTATAGCAGTTAATGTGCATATTGAAATATAATCTTCTCCTCAGTGGTTAAGTCAACAACTGAAGTGATAAACACAGTAAGATATTAACATAAACAGTCTTTGAAGCCTATTTTCCAGGAATCCATAGTGACAGAATAATGTGGAAACGGGAGTCTTATCTATAATATATGTCTTCTACTACTCAGTAGCAAGATTGTATAGTATTGGCTGAATTCTTTGCTACACAGGCTTAATCATGACCCTGCCCGTAGCTTAATACCATTCCATTATGTGTTCTGTCACCCTCGAACTCATATAGCTCTATCTTATATCTTAGAACTTCTATTAATCAACATATCTCTATTCATTTTAGATTGTGATTAAAGAGAGCAATTCAAAGTTTTAACTTTCTTTCAGGTAACTCTTCCAGGTTTCATTCCAAACCTTCTACCAGTGTTCTTTGCAACCTTTTAACATACTCAAGGTCTAGATTCCATTTCCCCACTAATTAACTCTTATTGAATGATTCACAATTCATGGACATTTGAACAACCTTAGAGGGCTGGGTTTTCGCTCGGGGCAGAATGCTTTCCTAATAAGTCTGCCCTGGTTCAATCTCCAGTACAGGGGCCTGGAGGGAGGGGAAAACTTAGCACTTGTAATATCCTGGGATATGATGATTTATTGTATAAGTGTAAAGCATATGGGGGTGTGGCTCAGTGGTAAAGCAGCTCTGAGTCCAATCCCCACTACCAAAAGAACAAAATTAAAAACTGTAATATTTCTATACATATTACTTATTTCATAATCATTACAAGTATTTAAATGTATCTAAATGAAACAGAGAAGTTAAATTTATAGCTTATTAGTACCATGAAATCTGTACTCTCTTCGTCAAAACTGTCTAATTTCTAAGGCACCACCACAAAATCAAATACTGCTTCACCCCTCATATTGTTTTTTTTTCAAATATATTTAAGTGACTATTTGCCTTTCCAAACTGCCTTCGAATAAGTTAACAAAGTTCCTAAAAGATTTTTGCATTATATATCTCAAACGATTCTACTTTTTAAAAATATGTTTTGTTGTGGTGTGTTTGTGTGTTATGCTGCAGATGGAACCCAGGGCCTTGTGCATGCCAGGCAACAGCTCTACCTTTGTGCTATATATTTCCAGTCCATCTGCTTTCTTTTTATTTTGCTGGCTCAATAACTTTAACATTATTTATTTAACTTTTAAGTTCCTTAAACTTCTCTCAACATCTAAAATTTATCCCACTGTGTCTCATTTGATCAGGAAGTATCTAAGTATTTTTCTTTGTATTGATTAATTTTTCTCAGAGAGGATCTTAGAACCATCAAATCAAGATGTTTGCTTGAAATGCAATGTCTGTGACTATTTTTTTCAGAACAAGTTCCAGCAAATAAAATTTAATTTTATAAAGTTCTATATAAAACACAATACATCAAATGCTAGAGAGTAAATGATAAAAACCAACCAGAATCTTAACTGTCTAATAAAACAGTTTTTAAGTTCACAATTTAAGATAAATATAACCAAGATATAAATTACAGAAACAAATAATTGTCAGGAAGAATAACGGAGATAGACTGAAGAAAATAATAGAACACCATTACAAAAATATTTAAAAGAATGTTAATTCTAGAAACATGAATGAAAAGAAAAACTTAGATAAAACTGTGCTACTTTTACTAAATGCTATTTGATATAAATACAACCAAAATCTAAACCACACATATTGCAGAGAATAGTATATTAAAAAAAAAAAAAAAAAAACTATAAGTAGCTTACACTGATACTAGTTGGATAAAAGAGATAAGACTGGAAAATCAGGTAAGAGCCAGATTATGAAAAACTTCATATGCCATACTAAAGACTTTGAATTTTATCCTTTAAGTACTAGAAAATCCTTTAAGACAGTGTGAAATGGTGTGGTTTGCATTTTTAAAGTATTTTGTTTGCTTGCTTTTTTTTTTTTTTTTTTTTTTTGCAGTAGTGGGGATTGAACCCAAGATCTCATGCATGTTAAGCAACTGCTCTTCCCCTGAGATACATTCCCATCCTTTTTATTTTGAGATAGGTTGCCCATGCTGGACTCAAAGTTAGAATCCTCCTGCCTCAGCCTCTTGAGTTGAGTAGCTGGAATTAAAAGAGTTATTTGCTACAGTGCCCACTCTGGTTTGCATTTTAGATAGAACATCAATTTGCCAAGCATCTAGAGAAGGGATTAGTTAATGGTGTGAAGTTCAAGAAGTTGCTGAAAAAAGTTCAGATGACAAATCATGTTCTACTTTACCAAGCAGAGGCAGTGAAAAGAGGAGAAAAAAGTAAACTGATAAATAATAGGAAAAATGTTTTTAAAGAAATGATCAAGAAAATAATGAGAGAGTTTAGATTAACTTTCTAGTGTATGTCTGGTTTCAGTGGCTGAGTACCATAGAGAGATGAGAAATACAAGAACACAACAAATTAGAGAAGAAAATAAGAACTAAGGATTATTAGTATTTTGGAAATTTGAGTCTAGAATTTTAGGAGAAAGTCTACTTAGGAGGCACAGATTTGGAGAGCTAATGAATACAGATGACAGCTGAAGCTGAAGGACATATATTTTCTGAGCCAGGTACAGTAGTTTACTTGTACTCCCAGCTCTTTTAGGAGATTGAGGCAGGAAGACTTCTAGTTTGAGGCCAACCTTGGCAACATAGCTAAAGTGTCTCCAAAAAAAAAAAAAAGAAAGAAAGTGGTAGAACACTTGACTGGGTTCACAGTTCTGGGGGTGGGATAGCAGCAGGGAGTAGCAGGGAATATGTTTTCCAATGGAATGTGAATGGGATAAGAAAGAGGAGAAAACACTAGGGGAAAAAACAATTAAGGAATAGGCACAGGCATCATAAAAGACCTATTTTCATTTAGTTTTATTTTTTGGTACCAGGGATTGAGCCCAGGGGTTAGCCATATTCCCAACCCTTTATTAATTTGGAGACAGGATCTCAATAAGTTGCTGAATCTGGCTTTGAACTTTCCATCCTCCTGCCTCAGCCTCCCATTCCACTGGGATTATAGGCATGTGCCACCTCACCCGGCATTAAAAACAAACAAACAAAAAAAAAAACAAAAAAAAACCCTACTTTTAGAAAGAACACTGATCTCAATCAACAACCTAACTTTTCTCCTTAAGAAACCAGAAAAAGCAAACTAAACCAATGTAAACAGAGAAGGGGAAATAATAAACATTAGAGCAGAGATTAATAAAATTAGGAAATGATAAAACAAAATCACAAGTTGGTTCTTACATCAAAATTGACAAATCTTCAGAAAAATGAAAAAGACTCAAATTACTAAAATCCAGAATAAAAGAAGGTTATTAGTACTATTCTTACCAAAAATAAAAAGGATTATAAGAATACTATGAATACCCATATGCAAAGTAATTAAGGCATTACAGATGAAATGGGCAAATTCTAATAAACATGAAAAGATAGAAACTCAGAATGAACCCAAAACAAATAAAAAAGATTGAGTCAGTAATAAAATTTCCTCAGTCTAATAAAGGGCACCTAGGAAAAACCCACAGCCAACATATTTATGATTAGAAACTGAAAGCTTCCTCTGTAGAAGAAAGGAAAATACAAGGATATGTACTCTCACCAATTCCAGTCAACATTATATTGAAACTGGGAAAGGAGGAAATGAGGAAATGTTTGATAGGTATATCATTTCAATATTGCAAAATAGAAAGATTCTAGATATCTGCTGTACAACAACTTTAAAATTTTTAACATTACATAAACATTAAGATCAAGTACGAAATTATAGGCAGATAGGAGCAAGAAGTTCTGCTGTACTACTGAAGAGTAAGGTGACTATAGAAAACAACAATGTATTATACATATCAAAAAGCTAGAAGAAAAGATTTTGAAAAGTTTGTACCATTAAAAAAAAAATGATGTTTGGGGAGCCAGATATGTTTAATCTGACTTAAACATTATATAACATATACAGATACTAAAACATCACATTACTACATTAATAAATAGGTTAAATAAATTAATATTATAAAAATAATATCAGTAAATCTTTAAAATTTTGAGTTTTAGAAGATTGTGTCTGAAATAGTATTATCAAGTGCTTGTCAACTGTCCTGCTGAATTAATACAATCTAGTACTTTTGTCAGTGAAAGATAACATCAAAGGATGTATGTCAGTTCATTCACAATTGTTCCCTATGATGTTTATTTTCCTTTAAACTCTAACTATATCAGGGCCTCTAATATTTTATCAATTAAAGAACAAGACTAAATGTATCTATACAACTAAAAAAGATGTTAAATTTCTTCAGCTTTTATACTTCTCTACCCCAAAATGTTAACATGTTTGTTCTCAAGAATATGTTCAATCCCTTTTTCCTCAGAAGCTCCTTGTTATTCATTATCTAAGCCTGTAAGTTACAGGCTATATAGGGCAGCAAAAATTATAAATAAATGTATTAACAAAATGATCACTTACAAATTTTCCACTTTGCCCACACCCTTAAAGCAATGAAACAGCATCTATGGATGCTCATTTTGCCTTCGGTTTCTTGTTTACTGTTAACCCAAACACAATGCCAATTGGCCACAAATTAAACTACATTAGCAAAATATGCAATATTTCATGAAGTCACAGAAAATGTACCTGAAAAATTACTGGAGTCATATACAATCTTGAAGAAATAAAATCCTTTTAGTTTGTTTTACCCTTCTCTAGACTTTTTATTAAATCAAATTTTACTAAAATCTTTGAGAGAGAAATTAAAGTCTGAAGAAATATTTCTCATAGTTAATAAGAAAGTGGTTATTTCTTAAATTCATTGTATAAAGGAGGAATTCTTAAAATAACTTTAAATACTGTACTTGAAGAAAAAGCAACTTAGATTCAAGTTAATAGTGCAATTAAATGTGTTTTTTAACAAAAAAGAAAAAAGAAAAAGAAATAAAATCAACAAAGGGAGACACTAGATTCAAAAAAGGAGTATTTTTGAAGCTTAAAGGATAAAGGAAGGTGCTTGGGGAAGCTAAAGAAATCCTACCACATTTTTACAAGATTGATCCTCATTATAATTCACAAAAATGTGGGGCTCTGGCTGTGGCTCAGTGGTAGAGCGCTTGCCTTGCATGTGTGAGGCACTGGGTTTGATCCTCAGTACTACATACATACATACATACATACATACATACATACATACATACATACATAAAATAAAGATTGTGTTATGTACAATTTTAAAAAATTTTTTAAATTGCACAAAAATGAGAAGTGACAGTATTTGCCTTATATGCTGATTCAGAATTCATCCCAGGAAAACATGCAACTCCACCATAAAACCTGAGTCAAACTAGATACAATTTAAAAGGCTGTCTCCAACCTACACACTAAGTAAAAAATAAGAGTACATAATAAAAGTATACAATTCATTAATAAATCAAAATTCCAAAAAACAGAATTCACATTCAATGGGGGTGTGATGTAGCAAATTCCTAATGTAGATATTAATTACTAACTGCCCTGGCAAGAGATAACTCAAAAGAACTAGAAAAACTATTTGCATACGTAAAAAGACTTTCAGAAACTTAACACTATTATCATTCTGCCACACAGAAAGACAATAAAAGCCAAACTGATGAGCTACATTGACCTATCATCCTCCTATAGGCAATCTACAAAGTTTTCACTGAGGTGTTGAACAACTGACTCACCACACATCCCTGGGTTTCATATAATCAATAGAACATGCTAGCTTTCAATTGGAATTATCTACAAAAGGCAACCTTTATAGGGATAAATCAACCACCAGAGAAGAGTCTAATAAAACTTACCATTGTGTATTGCATTCAGCAACTCTGAGAAAGCTTTTAAGTGAGGAAAAAAGGACTTCAGGTTAAGATCATTTTCAAATACACAAAAGAAATACATAGGCACAGACTACATCAGAATAATAAAATTTCATTAAGTCTCTCATGTATTATTTGCTTGAACTATTACAACTTCAAGCATCACTCAGTTTTTATATAACAAAGATTTCTAAATACTGTATTCCATTTGCCAATATATTACATGCTAAACTGAGATGCTAGATTTATTGCCTTTATGGTAACAATTTCCTTAGTGTAATAAATATATATCTTTATATATAAATATATACAATCTTTAAATCATTTTTTAAAATATGTCAATGTCTTGATAAAAATGCATCTCTATAAGTTGTAATTCTATACAGGTAAATCTACAGGACACGTACAACAGTATTTATTACAATGAAAAATCTAACCCTATCAAACATTCTCATTTCCCAACCTTCAGTATAAGAAGTCACAACATGTGCAGAATCTAAGCCAATGCACAAATACTGAAAATTTTTATTAGTATTAAGACTAATGGAAACCAAAATACTGAAAATATTTTATGAAAGGGCAGAAGTCACAATTCTACAATGGAAGTATTTTATTAAAAGGCCAACAATAACTTAAGTTTGCCCACAATTTGACTGTAATACAATATTGAACATAAGACAAAGCTGTTATCTTTGTAGAAGAAACAAATCTATTAAAAACTATATTTTGAAAAATAAAACTCAGAGGTTCAAAGGTAGACAAATATACTAGAAAAAGCACTAAAGTAAGAGTCAAAAAGCCAGGGTTACCAACCCAGTTGGACAACTTACTAGTTGTTGGACAAGCTCCATCATGCCGATACTGCATGGAAATTTCTGTTGGGAGGGAGGAGAAAGAAATCAGCAAAGAAGTTGCCAGTGACTCAAAGGGAGAATAAGAAACAGACCAGAAAAACGTGGGGAATCCACCTTAAAGTCTAGCTAAGTGGGTCAAACCAAACTGCAGGAACAAAAATTTAAGCTAACAGGATATGAGAGGAAGAGAACCAAACATAATGGAATTTTCACAAATTTATTGTATGTAACAAAGGTAAGGAAAAGGCAAAAAGGCTTATAAACAAAACTGTATAAAAAGTATCTGATAACAAATGACTTCATTAATGAGAGAATAGTTAGCAACAAGATACGCTAATGCACTTTAGATAATTCATTAGATGGCAACAATTTATCAAAAACAGTTTAATACTGTAGCTGACTGGAAATTACAATTTAAGAATTATAATTAGTTTATACATAAACAAAGCCATAATGACTTATACAACAGTATAAAACTCATTAAATTACACTTAGTTCACTTCCTTATACCTTTTATTTTTGACAAAAATAGTGAATAAATGAGATATTACTCTTACTCTTTTATTCCACCCAAATGAGGAAAACAAGCAGAGTGACCTGAAACAATAAAACAATGCTTAAAAGTAAGAGCTGCTCAGAATATGGAAAATAAATTTCAATATGGCATGCTAAGGGAAAAATAAATGATAAAACCAAGATCAAGATAGTGAGTAACTCAAAAGATCTGGTTTGCTAGGAAGAACTGATAGTCCCTTAAAATTAACACCTGGCAAAAAGTTATATTAAAGGGATAGCTGGGAATTCCCTGGATATCACTTAACCAAAAGATGCCCCTTAGGAACTGTATGTACAAGAGAGGTTCCCAGAGCCATCACTCACACATCTGCCAACATATGTTCCTCATAAATCTAGTCTAACCATGTCCACCCTGAGTAACTTGAGGTAGAAAGAAAGACAAAGCAAGGTAAAAACAAGCCAGCACACACCTGTAATCACTGTAATATTTGAAAAAAAATTATGTGAAATGCAGTTTTAAAAATTCAAACATTTAGTCCAGTTCAGAACAATCATCTAGAAACAATTTAGGCTCTGGCTTAACTCCTTCCCAGTTGACACTCAAAAATGAGACATCGTGGGGAATTCTCCATCTTAATGCCTCATTAAAAAATATAATACTAGTAAGATTTAAAAGGGTAGGTAGCTGCTGAGATGTTTGACATTGTCCATTATAGAAAAAATAGCAGCTGTTTGGAATGGTGATGAAAAATAATCAAAGGACATTCGTAATAGCAGAAGTATTTTAGTGATAGGAAAAAACCCTGAAATATGGCTAATCTGGCCTTTGATCTAGCACTTCTATAATTGTTGTTGTTATTTTGGTACCAGAGATTGAACCCAGGGGCACTTAATCTTGGAGCCACATTCCCAGCCCTTTTTATTTTTTGAGACAGGGTTCTCATTAAGTTGGCCAGGCTGGCCTCAAATTTGAATCCTTCTGCCTCAGCCTCCTGAGTTGCTGAGTTTACAGGCATGTGCCACCATGCCTGGCCTGGTCAATTTAGCACTTTTACAGAAAGGCAACCGTGGTATAGCACTAACAAATACTCCAATCGTCAAAGACCAAAATAAAATCAGGGAATTTTCCAAAAGAACAAATTCCAAGTTATATCCTAGACTCAGCAGTACATAATGTGCTATATAATTTTCATTTATGACCCTAGATAATCAAGGTTTGTAAAATTGTGAACTTGAGTCAGTAAGATACATTTATGTTCACAAACTGCCCATAATCCTTGTCTTCATTAAGAGAGTTTATTGAACTAATATCTGTATCTTTATAATTCCCTTATTTGCTTACAGAATCAATACCACTAATGGAACTACTTTACCAGGGAAATACTTTTCAGTTTTATTTTACCAACCTAAATAGAAATGATATAGAAGTATGTTTAGTAAGGAAACTGACAGTTCTAAGGGCTCATACTAAAACTCTCTAACCTTTAATTTCAGTAAAAGTTATAACAACTTGTTCTATAAAATTGATCTCAATCAAGAGAGCATATTTCCAAAATCTCCTTTAGTAGCATTTATCACCACTAAAGAGTCTCACCCCTGAAATACATTTCCAAATAGCTTATCTTAGGAACAATATGGCAGGCAGTGCTATCTATATTTAACAACTTAAGTCTTAAGAGTTTTAAAAATGGTGAATTACATTCTTTGAAAAGAAACAGTACACTGCAAGAAAAGAAGTTAATACTAAATATGTTGACCTCTTGTCATTTGAAGAATGAGATGTTTCTCAGAGAAAATAACATCCTGATTTTTGTTTAGAAAAAAAAATGTTGCAGAACTTTCACTTTAGTAAATCATAAATTCTTATAATATAGTGAAGATAAACTGGAAAGAGGAAAAGGATAAGTTCAGCATGTTAACTCTTCCAAATGCTACAGTACTGATTTTCAAAAGACTGGGTACCTAATTGTTCGGGTACCAAAAAAATATCTGTAGGAAGAAATTTAATCAAAATCTTAATATAATCTAGAAGCCAAAACGTGAACAACCTATAGCAGTCTCTCAAAACAAAATACTAATAATCATTTTGTACAAGTCATTGTAAAACAATAGGCCATTTATCAGGGTGTACTTAAATTCTAATGAAAATGTTACAATCCAAACCCTTTAATCAGATAAAATCCCTATAAACTTCTTATTTGATCAAGGAGTTTCTATTCTAATTTTATCTAGAACTTCTAGAATAAATATCTACACTCTACTACAATTAGAACCCGTTATGATGGGATTCTGATTGTTGTTAAAAGTCATGCTTTTAACAATTCCAAGAGATAATCACATTATTAGAACCTGATTCTACTTCTGTTTTATGTCCCAGTATGATAAAATAGGAGAAATAGTAATACTAATAGCAGCTGTCCTACCTGGAATGAACTATTGAACTATGGTACCTAAAAGTAAGCGTTCTTTAGAAACATTTAAGTGCTCAAACATAGGCTATTACCATTACTATAAGCTAAATGAGGCAAAAGTTTTGGTAAGTTACCAAAATTAAGCCCAGAATGCTTCTCGTAGGAGAAAGACCACTGTTGGGTGATTATTTATTCAGCCTGTGGAATTCAACTCTCCATGAAACCATCCTACCCTATTTAACCAATATTACCTCCAACTATGCTAAAAACTCAAGCTTCTTATTCCTATTAGGCTTATACCCTAAACATACATTTACTTCCTCTTCTGGTAATATTGCTGAACTTCATTTCGTACTATTCTGAAGGAAAATTCAATCTCTTTGTGTTTTTTTTTTTTCAAACTTAATAATACTTCTTATCCTCATAGACTATGATGCTATACCAAAAGCCTTAAAAATAAAATAGTTTAACTTGCAGCCTAACGATAGACACTTGCAAGATCAAGAACAAAAATCACATGGGATACCATTACCCATATGATATGCATTCAGTGCTTAGTACTAGTAGTATTCTTTTTTTTTTTTTTTAAGACATGTTTAGTATTTATTATCTTCAAAGCACTATGTTGGCAGTAGGGATAGAGCAATGAACATGACAAACATAACAGAACAAGTATTAGAGTGGATGTTATGTTATAACATCATGCCAACATGTGCTTACAAGGGTCGTCTCTACCATTACTAAATTATCAACTTACTTGACATTAAAGCAAATCATTCTTATAGAAGGAGTATCATAAAAACAATTTTGGGGGTGGCAGGATTCTGGGGATTGAACCCAGAGGCGCTTAACCACTGAGCCACATTCCCAGCCCTTTTAATTTCTTATTTTGAGACAGAGTCTCACTAAATTGCTGAGGCTGGCTTTGAGCTTATGATCCTCCTGCCTCAGACTCCCTAGTTGCTGGGATTATAGATATGTGCCACTGTGTCTGGCATGAAAACAATTTTTGATAATGCAGTGCACAGTAGACATTTCCTCCTTTATACTTATTTATATGGGAGAAAGATCCCTATTCTTACAATTACTAAATGCCTTCTCAATTTAAATTACTCCAATGGAAAAGTTAACTTTTTCATATCAGAAGGAAATATTGTTGCTGAAAGTTAAATTACTGGTTCAAATTTACTCATGGATTCTCTCTGCTTAAAGTATGACTGACATTATGCTAGTGTGGCTTTAACCCTCAACAGCAAACATCTGTCAAATTTCACAATTCAGTGAATACACATACCTCCACCACTTAGAGCTATAATATCTGCCGAGTTTCTTTTTCTATATAATGAGTAATAAAAATTCTATATAATGAGTAATAAGACTAAATGTTTTCTTAAATGCTTAACAGTGTGTGGCACATACTATTAGTAGTCAGTAATTCTTAACTTGTAGTCAAGAAGGCATAATTCCTAAGTATACTGACAGTTTGCTAAGTTTCTTCTAGATAAGAATACTTTTTACACTGAGTTTTATCTGATACTCTAATAACGTGTATAGAACTAAAGAATAGGGCTGGGGTTGTGGCTCAGTGGTAGAGACAGCACTTGCCTAGCATGTGTGAGGCACTGGGTTTGATTCTTAGCATTGCATATAAATAAATTTTAAAAAATATAAAGGTCCATTGATAACTTAAAAATCTTTTTAAAAAAAAGATCTAAAGAATATATTATATCAAATAGCTTTAAGTGAGCGGTAGTATTCCATAATTATAGCTTTTACAAAACATACAATCTTCAGAGTGATTTTTAACATAACTTCCAACTTTCTTGGCAAGCTCAATTTGTTATTTACTTCTGTGAAATAAGGTATCTCTGGGAATGCAACCATAAATTACCATGATCTAATAATAAGGTAAAGGAATTACAAATCCCATTTTTTAATGCCACAGATGTACCACAAACACTGATCCTCTGAAAGTAACCATCCCTTAAGAAACACAGTTTGCCATGCCCCAAATCTCCCCTAAATTTGTAACAACTAAGATCTTTTTAGGGATGTAAGTTAATATTTAATTACACTAATCTGAAAATATGTGCTAAAATTCAGGAATTTTCAGGGTTGGGGGATATAGCTCAGTGGTACAGCACTTGCCTAGTATGTGCCCTTAGGTTCCAGTCCCAGTACTGCAAGAATCAAAAACAAACAAACAAAAACCAAAAAAAAATTCAGCAATTTTCAGACTGAAAATTCAGACTATGCTTCAAAACTATAGGAAATTACTGAAGATCATTCTCCACTAAAGCAAATTTAGGCTTAATTTTCTCAATACGGTACTCAATCTATGCCTTTTGCTAAAAAGAGTATGAACCCTATTTTTTCTTAAGTAGATTTATTTAAATTTAGTTCTGGTCTTACAGTGGGGGAAGAGGGCACGCATGCGCAGGCTGGGCTGTGTTCTGGCCTACAGGTACCAAAGCTATTTATTAGAAATAAAAATAAATCCCTGGCTGTATAATCCTGGGCAACTTATCTACCTTTCAAAGTCTCATATTTATCAGCTACAAAATACACACAATAACAACACTTTATACAAAAAGTTGTTAAATGATAGTAAATATAAACTTTTAACAAAATGGGATACATCACAGATGATAGTTGGTTGCATTTACTATTCCTCACATCTCGTCTTTACCTATAATACTCCTTTCTTTTTTGAATGGCCATTCTTATGTTTGTTAATAAGGTTTGCATTTCCACCACTAAAAGAAATTCAAAATTGTGCGTTTATAAAATATATAATGTGAAATATAATGACCATCCATTGGTTTCTCTATACCTATCTCTATTCCCCATCAGCAAATAGAACAAACATAACCAACAATAGTTAATCTTAGCTAAAGTCCTATTATTTCAACAAGAAATATAAAACCAGAAAAGATAAAAGTTTATAATCAATATTTCTTGAAAACCATTTACCTCATATTCAAGATCCAATATAAAAAGATAACACTAACATGTCAGTTAATATTAGAACTGTTAAGCATCTGTCTTAAAAACATGCATTTTCAATAATCTTTTAAAAACTGAAAATATTCATACACAAACTAAAAGTAACAGAAGCATCCCAATGATATGAACAACATAAACTCGTGGGTACTATAATAAAAATAATGGTAAAATCACTAAACATACTTTAAACATACTTGAAAACAAAAAATTAAATTATTTTAATAATCCTGAAAATGTGATTGCTAAAAATATTCTAGATAAAATAATTCACAATATTTGTGTGGAAAAATTATTGAGACAGTAAAGGCAAAAAGTGAAGTTTAGACAAAGTGAGTTCAAAATACTAGACCCTCCCCTAAGACTTAGTGGGTAAGCCTCCTGCCCCTCTCTTAGGCAGTATACTTTTGTTTCAATAAATCCCCATTTATTGTCTCAACAAAAGAAGAAGGGAAAAAAATGCCAAAAATTTCACATTCTAAATATGAATTCTGGGTTGGTTTTTAAAATACTAGAAAAGTAAACCAAAAACACATAAGAAATGGATTCTAGGTGTTTCTTAAGTAATGAATGACCAGATAAACTGTTCAGCCTACATTTAGATAAGTAACATCAGATTAGTACCAAACATTTAAATACCAAATTGTGTTTCTAAGATTGTAAGATATTTTTACTTTCTTAAGAAATAAAAAATTAAGAAATGTCACTTAGTAGTTCAAAATATTATCGTAATAACTGTTTAAAACTTTTTGGTGTACAGAAGTGGGTTGAGGTGAGAGAGAACAATGATGGGCAAATCCCTACCTGAACCAACTGGAGATGAGCCAACACTAAGACTCTGTAAACTTCCATTCCTGAGCAATGTAGGAGATTTCTGGAGACTAGAGCTTGTTACGCTTCCTGCAGCTGAGGCTACAGATGATGTTGGTGAAGCAGAAGAAACTGAGAGATGAGAAACATTCTCTTGATTTTTGTTTCCTTTGGGTCTACCAGGCCCATGCTTACTTTGTTTATTTCCTTTTCTTTTCTTTTCCTTTATAGTTTCTTCTTCTATGCCAGAAGTTTGAGCCCGCTTATATCCTGCTGTAGGAAGGCTGGAACTACCCAAATCTCCAGGTGAATTTTCAAAGCTTTTAGGCTGTGCAATAGCTGAGGTCGCAGGGTGACCAATTAAGGAACTAAAACTATTTACCCCCCCTTCCTGGCTTCCAGACTCTCCTTTATGTACATCTTTGGTTGATGATGACTGTTGGGAGTGAGTATAACTGTCATTACGCAGATCTGAGTCTGTAAAGCTCAAGAAATCTTGGGGAGACTGCACTGAACTTCCAGAAGATGATTTTACACTGCCTGGAGTTCCTGAAAAACTGCCTGTAGTAAAAATAAAAAATGGGGGAGGAAAAGAAAAAAAATTGGATGCAAAAGTTCCCATGAATAGTAGATGTGAAACAATAATCAAAAAGAAGAGAGGACTTTTTAAAAACTTAACTATAAAATTAAGGACATCAGTATTATAACAAAGCAAGATTTGAAAAGGATTACCTAAAATTATCTTCATTAAAAACACTTGTCATTTTATAGATAGTGTTAAATATTCACTTTTAAATTGCAAGCTATCATTTATACAATTACTAATATATAAGATATGTTTTATTTAACCTACCTTTTACCACAGCATTCCTCAGTCGTCCCCCCGCACCCCACAACCACCACCATCCCTACCCCCACCACCACCACTCCACCCTACCCACAACACCTTGGGTAGGCTTGATAAAGGACTAAAGAAGAAGCAAAGTCACCTTCTGACAGTCAAGCAAGACCCAACAAGGCCACAATCTGACCTTGCAATGCCTGGCAAATCTAATTTTTCAAATACTTAAGATATGATTATCAATGTTCCCCAAAATACAATAAACACCCAAAATATTTCTTGGGTTATAATTTCTAAGTTTACTTTAAGACAGATCAGTGATTGCTATTATTCAGCTGAATCTACCCAAAGAAAACATGGATATGATAAAATAATGGTAACAAGTAGTCTAATTTACATCTTAAATTCTCTTGGTCCACTTTCTGTGAAACCACATAAAGAAAAGTCCACCACTAATATTCTCCTATTCCTTTTAGGGAAGGAAAAATAATGGGAAAGACAGTTTTTATGAACTTCTTTCACCATTCTTATTCTTTCCTCACTATCCAAAGAACAGCTCACCATGGCATTTTGTGATATAAGAACCTCAAGGTTCTTATTACCTGGTGGAAAATTAATATAGCCTGTAAGGAAATAAAGGTTTGGTTCACCAAATCATTTTATGAAACCGCTTCCATGCTTGCCAAATGAAGTAGGCAAATGTTTAGACTCAGTTGTGACTACATGTATTATTTTATTTCATAAAACTAGACTATATTGTATTTCAACTAGAGTGTTTCAAAATAAAAACTTTTTTAAGTATTTTATTCAAGTAGAAAGGAAAGGAAATTTTAAGCTAAGTATTAAATTTTATTGTAGACTATATTCATAATTAATCTCACACAAATCAAACCTAAATGTTTACAAAGATTTTTTTCCTTTACACACAAAAATTTCTTTTCAAATTAAGTCTCAAGGTTTTCATTTTTTAAAGTTTAACATCCTCTGAAATGGCTGTTTAAAAAGTATTAATAGGGAGCTGGGGTTGTGGCTCAGCGGTAGAGCGCTCACCTAGCACGTGCAAGGCCCTGGGTTCGATCCTCAGCACCCACATAAAAATAAACAAAATAAAGGTATTGTGTACAACTAAGAAATAAATATTTTTTAAAAGTATTAATAGTTCTAAAACTTCAGTATTTTAAGAATACATCTGTTGTATTAATTTAGAAAATTATTTGTACTTATATGAACATTTTCAGTCATTTGTTCAGAAAAACATAGTAAGAGGCCATTCACATTACACCAGTCACTTAAGAATTACTGCAATTTCCCAGGTAAGTAGCAGTTATAAAGAAATTGTTTTTGTTTTAGTGGTGCTAGGGATCAACCCAGGGCCTTGTATAAAGAAGTTCTTATACATTCTGATCTGTAACAATCTTTCTTCTAAAACTTTGTTGTTGTTGTTGTTTTTATAGATAGTATTAAAAGCTCACTGCATACTTTAATAGTATATGTAATACTTTAAATGTATATTTTCTGAAATTCATATACTACCTACTATGAAGAAATCAACTAATTATCTTAAATACCTTACCTCTTATTTAAAACTTTTACAGATTATCTTAGATATAACACATAAGACATTCTCAACCATGTTTTAATACTGAAAAGATTCTTCAAATATTATGAAGTTCCCCAAGAATGGGTGATTTATCTTCCAAACAGATTAATGCTTCATGGATTATAAAAATTTTTAAATGTAACTTGGTTTATTGGCACAACCCTGTAATCGTAGCTACTTGGAAGGCTTAGGCAGAGGATCACAAGTTCATGGCCAGCCTCTATAACTTACAAGACCCTATGTCAAAATTTAAAAATAAAAACAGGGTTGGGGGTATAGGGCACATGCCTAATATGCACCAGGCCGTGAGTTCCATTTTCACTACTGAAAATAAAAAACTTAAAAATGTGATTTAACAGCTGGAAATAAAGTATCAACTGCAGAAATACTGACTGAATTCGGATAGTATCACCTTCAAAATGTGAATGAAGTTATTACATATAAGGTTATTTAAGGTTTCACTATTTTTTCAAGGTGGTACACTAATGACAACAAATGTTAAATTTTACTCAAATAAAATAATAAATCTGGCATTTGATTGTATACTTAAACACACACACACAAAAAAAAACTGGGACCTGAAAATCTTCAAGTCCCAAATTACTACTTGTATAAATATATGAATATACTTTTTAAGTATACTTACTTAATATACTTACTGAGAGGTCAGCAAACTAAGTAATCTACATATTCAAATAATGTTCTGCTAGATTTTCTTTATAAGTTTATTATTAGCAGAAGTTTCAAAGGGTAATTTACTTCTAGGTGAAAAAAGTCCTTTGGGGACATGTATGGTATATTTTCCTCCAACATTATTAATGTTTCTAATTGTCCAAATTTTATGTTCATATTAAAATTATAAAAACCAATCAGGGTTATGCTTTATAAATTTTAGCTGTAGCCAGGCCTAGTAATACATGCCTGAGACTGAGGCAAGAGGATCCAAGTTCAAGGCCAGCGTAGTCAAATTTGCAAAACTCTGTACTATAATTAATCTAATGATACGGAACTTTCAAAAAGTTTCAAAAGGGGACTGGGGATGTAGCTCAGTAGTAAGAGCAGCCCTGGGTTTAATCTCCGGTAACACAAAAATCACCCTGGGTTCAATCTCCAGTATCACCAAAATTAATTAATTTGGCTGACTTACTTTTTTCTCTCTAAAACAGCATACCCATTTAATTCTGACATTTGGTTAAAAAACAAACAGTATTTCTAACATACTAATAGTTTATATAAAATTCAAATTTAACTGAATATCCTAAAACAGCCTAACCACAGAAGATATAAAGATGAGTAAAATTCTACTTCAAACTTCAAGCCTCACAATAAATGCACTATTGATCAACAGTTACCATGTACTGAGACCTACTTAGATTCCCTAAAAATTGTTCAATCCTCTAACAATTGTTCTAATGTTTAATTATGATTCTAGTGTTTAATTAGGAAAGGTTAAGTAAAAACAATTTATAGAAAAGACTGTTAAAAAGGGTAAAAAGAAAAACTCCTGTTTTTATTGTTTCTTTCCCCAGTCTTAACCTTTATTCTACAACTAAACATAAAAACTACATTTTAACTTTTTAAGCACAAATTATAACATAAAAAGATACCAAAAGTTCCAGAAATATTTTAACAGAAAATACTAGACTTCAAAGTAATCTTACTGTATCATCTAATTAGATAATATTCCAGAACAATTCATTAATTGTAAGTAAAAAATAAATTCTTTTACAAAATAAAAGTACTATTCACCATAATCAGAACAAGTGTTTTAACTAAAATATCATGATTAATACCTTGTGGAAATGGGCTAGCTGCTGACACAGTTGTTCCTGGATTTCTTCCACCACCAGGTTTCCTTCCCCTTTGACCTGAGCTGTGAGCTGAAGATTTCTTCCCCTTGCCCTCTGACCCTCTAGCCTCTGAAACATCTTTTCCACTAGAGGTGTGTGCAGAGACTTCCTGGAAATTTGCATTTGTAAATCGTGCCGTAGTATCTTCCAAGCGCTTCAATGATCCAGATATAGAGTTGTTGCTAGTGCTTGTGTAAGTCTAACATTTTCATTAAAGGAAGTAAAAGGAAAAAAAAAAAAAAAAGAACTGATTACATTTAGCTACAGAAAACAATATATGGAAAATTAATAATAATTACTCAACTTGTAAGATAAACTTATGAAACTTTCAGTAGTACAAATAACTCCCTCTGTTTAAGAAAATCATGTAAAAACAATTCAGTATAGTATACCTTTTTTTTTCCCCCAGTGGTAGACCTGAGGCTGAAAGCCAGGGCTTCACACATACTAAACAAGCACAGTACCACTGAGCTGTATCCCTAGACCTATTATTAAAAACAAAAAACTATACATAATGCTTTGCTATCTGAGAGCCAGATTGGAGCAATTAATAAAGGTACATATTAATCATATTTATTAAGTGACATCAAAGGTATCACTTCCCAAGCAACATCAAAGGTATCACTTCTCAAGTAACAACACTTTTCACAACATATTATCTCCTAGACACAAAATCATAATAAGCTTTAGTGTGCAAAGCATGAAGGCAATATTTAGAACTAAGGTACTACAAATCTATTAGGGGACTATATCCATTATATGGCTCTTGCATAGTTTAAAGTATAACTTTTCAAAGCATTCAGATGAAGTCTCCTTTTAAAAAAAGAAAAATGACTTAAGTCTTTGAAACAGAAATCATTTCTTCCCAATTATTAGTTGGAGGAAAAAATTATAGTTACAGAGTTAATATTTTTATTAAAAAGTGATTCTCAACTACCCCACACTTTGATCAAGACACATGATTGAGGAAAAAACAAGATAAAGATTCCACTGAACCACTAGTTTTCAATGATCATTTTAAATACAAGGTATGTACAAAAAATGGAAATTAAAAGACTAAGTCATAGTTACATTCACACAAGTATCTAAAGCACCCAGTGCATTTAAGTTCACTAAGTGCCTTGAACAGAACTGATCATTCGTATGTGTATGTGTGTGTACACATATGTGTATATTTATATATACACATATATATGTACATATATAATATGTTTCATTTTTATTTATTCACTTATATATTTTGGGGGTACTGAGGATTGAAACGAAGTGTGCTTTAACAATGAACTACATTCTTAGTCTTTTCTTTCTTATTTTCAGATGGGGTCTCACTAAAATGCTGAAGCTGTCCTGGAACTTATAATTCTCCTGCCTCAGCCTCCTGAGTCTCTGGGATTATAAGAGTGGGCCACTGTAACTGGTTAATATTTTTCATTTTAAATCTCTAAAAATGGGGGGGATGTCCTAAAAATACACAAATGTGAACTTCCCACAGAAGAAATTTTAAAAATGAGAAAGTGATCATAAAATCAAGTTTCAAAACATTAGCTCATAAAAACAAAACAGTCACTGTTCTAACAAAATATAATCCACAAACAAGAACAAAGGTTTCAAAGTAAGTATGGCCATTTAACAAACAATCACATTAAGCTGATGAAACTTCATAGCTTACTTTAGAGACATGAACCTTTTCCATGCTAGACAGGTCAATTTGGAAACTACCCCACCTCGTTTTTCAAATATTTTTTTTTCGAATTACTTGAGTTGATCATAAGGTTCTCCATTCCTCTCACATCTGATCCTTGTATAACCTAGTGAAGTTTAAAAGTCATCTAAGAAAAAACAGTGGTATTCTTCACTCATGTATTATGTTCAAGTATCAAATAAAGGCTAAAGAGAAAATGTGGTGGAGTACTATGAATGCAAATATACTATTCACTTCCACAAAACAACCTGATTAGGGTTGGGAAATTTACCCATTTATTAAACAGAATATCACTGCTTCCACCCTGAAGTATGACTATGTTCATAAATTCAATAAAAATATTACATTTGGAAGAAAAGGTACTATAAAGAAAGCAGTGAAAGAAACAATCAAAATTCAGAAACAAATATCACATTAAAGCCATAACTGAACACTTTTGTTGTTGTCATTGTTGTTTAATTAACAGTACTGAACCCAGCGGCACTCCACCATTGAACTTTGGCCTAGTCTTTTTTTTTTTTTAATTTTGAGACAAGGTCTGGCTAAGTTGTCCAGGATAACCTTGAATTTGCCATCTTCTTGCCTCAGCCTCCAAGTAGCTGGGATTAAAGGTGTGTACCCCTGCACCCAACTGAACATTTTATTTTAAAAACAAGAGTCCATACCTTTTAAGTTTCCAAAAATATCAGACTTCCTAATATGGGGGGAGAGGAAGTTAGTCAAGAATATTAAGGGGAAAAAAATTCACATAATGATTTGCCCCTCCAAAGATACACAGGTTTCAGAGGAATCATCACCTTAACTCCATATTGAAAGTTAATTTACAAGTACTTTTTCAATAATGTGTTAAGATAATTATAATACTAGGGAATTCCACTACAAGCAATCAACTCAAAATCAAGATTTAAAAATTAAAAAAAAAAAAAAACAAGAGGGAAATGAAAAGGGCTGAATGAGACAATGAGCAAGCCTGAGATTAAATTCACAAAGCCATTGGTTTCTCAGATTCTCATCCTAAATGTTTCTCACAGAGTGACTCACTATTGAGGATGATCTTAGCGCATAAAAATACAATATGGACCACAAAATGCAAACTACTTCATTTGGTACTTGCTTATAGTTTAGACTGGCTTGTCCCTCAAAGAAGCATGTGTCTAAAGGCTTAATTAACTGCCAGCTTGTGGTGTGACCAAGAGGTGGTACAACCTTCAGGAAGTGGTAGAACCTTTAGGAAATGGGGCCTAATGAAAGGAAATTAGGTCAATGGGGGCATGATCTTCAAGGGAATGTTGGGATAGTAGTTCCTTTCCCCTCTCTCTCTTTTCTTTTCTGCTACCATGAGGAAAACAGACCTTTTCGGTTATTAGCTTTGCCACGATGTAATGTGCCACAATGGGGCCAAGGAACAGACTGAACCTCTGAAACTGTAAGCCAAAATAAACCTTTCCTGCTTACAAGTTAATTGTTTAAGTTAGTTTATCATAGTGATAGAAAAATAACAGTACTCAGCTAAAGAAAATAGTCTTGCCGGGTGCAGGGGCGCAGTGGCGCATGCCTGTAATCCCAGCAGCTCGTGAGACTGAGGCAGGAGAACTGTGAGCTCAAAGCCAGCCTCAGCAACTTAGCAAGGCCCTAAGCAACTCAGTGAGACCACGTCTCTAAATATTCAAAGAAAGGACTGAGAATATGGCTCAGTTATTAAATGCCCTTGGGTTCAATCCCCACTACCCTATCCCCACACACACAAAAAAGGAAGAAAATAGTCTTTTCGTTCTTTCTCATTAAAGATAAAACTGGATTATTTGGTTTTATTGAGTCTCCAACTTAGTGTGTAAATATATAGGTCTATACTGTGATTTGCAATGAGTGATTTAGAATGCATATAATTTTTTAGTGGCTAAGTACAATTATTAATTCTCTAAGAAGATACAACCCCAATATACTTACTCAATAGCACTAATGAGAAACAAAAATATATTTCCTACTTCAAACAAAAATTTTACATTACATTTAGAATCAAGTAATAATTCTGTAAGAGGTAATCAAAGATGTGATTTTTTTTTAAAGTATGGGTGTCTCAGATTATTCTATAAGGCTCTGTTATCTACGTTGAAAAAGGAGGCAGAAGGAAGAGAAATGACAAAGATGTGCCTTTAAACATTAGTAAACAGAATTTGGTGCTTAAAATTTTAAATTATGTACTATTCAAGCATATCCACAAGTTTTTAACTAGGCCAAGCCTGAAAATACAGCACATAAATTATCTAACACTGAAAGAATGAAGACATTTTAAATAAACTACAACAACATACTCACACTCACACACACACACACACACACACAAAACAGCAATTTGTGGAACAACTTTAAGCATCCTAATCTACATTATGTTGAATACCCAAAGAAAAATGGGAAGGGAGAAATAATACCAGAAAAAATTACATAGCTGACGAAAACATTAAGCCCACAGATTTATGAAGCTTAACTAACCCCAATCACATGAAACTACCCAAACCCAATCATTATCAAACCGCTTACTGTTAGGTAGCTAGTCAGCCATGAATTCGGGAACAGGAAAAGGACAATAAAGAGTGACTGAAAATGACAGGGAGCCTAATGGGACAGGCAAGGGCCTAGAGGATGGGGACCTGGTATGTCAAAACCATCCCTGACAAAATTAATTATGTCCTTTAAGAAAACTGTTTCAAGATCCTGTCATACCCAAACAGGCAACCAGGATCCTCCCTTCTAACTGAAATTATGTCACAACCATCTCTCACAAAACTTTGCTTAGGGCTAGTCAAAAGGTAATAAGCAGGTTAAGGGAGTATGAGAAATTAAGGCAAAAACAATAGGACCTGGAAATCCTTAAAAATCCCTGACTTGGTGAGGGCCACAGTCACTCTTCTTGTCCAGAGAACCCACTTTGACCCTTTCCTTTTTTCCTGTTCCCTTTCCTCCTAATTAATTTTGCTATTCTTTTACTGAATCTCATCTTGCCTAGAATCCTCTCAAGTAAAAACACAAGAATCCAAGGTGGGGACATCCTCAGTTGCCTTGCTTGGGCTCTGCCAGAGGGTCTTCTCTACATTTATCATTTTTGGAATGTCATAAGCACTACAAAACAACAACAAAGATGATATCAGCTGGGTGTGGTGATACACACTTGTAATCCCAGCTACTAGGAAGGCTGATGCAGGAGGATCACCAAGTTCAAGGTCACCTTGTAACTTAGTGAGACTTTAATCTCAATGTAAAGAAAAAATAAAAGGGCTGGGATTGTAGCTCAGTAGAAAAAAGCACCTAGTTTTGATCTCCAGTACCTCCAAAAATAAACCAACCAAAACGATCTCCATGGAAACAAAGCACCTAGAAATAAAAGAGTAGTAAAAGACACAAACTGTCAACCAGCATTCCATAGCAAGCCAAAACACCTTTTAAAAACAAACTCACAGCCAGGCAAGGGTGGCACAAATCCTTAGCAGCTTGGGAAGAAG